CCTAAATTTGTGGAGCTTCTCTCTCTTCAAGCCGTGACTCCTTCAAAACCAATAGCTTTCAACAAAAAATCCCTAATCTAATAATAAGATTAGGATTATTGCTATTGATTCACTGTACTAAAATTGAGAATGTAATATACTAAACATGTGATATACTGAGCATATGATTAAGACATTGATTTAATACTGTTATAAAATAATTAGATAGCATACGTACATCATTATAAGATTTTACGAAGTTGATATAATTCTGATGGTCTTTATTGATGCTTTTTTGTTTGCTTTATATGTTTTTTTATTGATTAATTGTATTGATATAATGATTATTTTATTGATTTGACATCTATCATGGTTTATTAGTTTTCCCACCATATTTCTTTACTAGATTATGTTTCATATTATTTAATTATTTATAAATTATACTGCTGTTATTATAAACTTTATTATTTCTGCACAAATTCATAATCATATAAATATTATTATTATGATTTGGCTTATGATATGCATATTCCACTTTTATCATGCTTTGAGTTTAGTTGTAGGATTTGGTTAATTGTTGGGTTCTTGAGCTCATTATATATGATTAAATATGTTTAGGCAAGGCAAAGGAACAGGTGTTTGAGATTGACCAGGATCGTTCAACTTTTGGTTCTTATTATTTTAGTTATTATTTTATACTCAGATGGGATATATATGTTATGATTATATAGATCTTGAGTAGTGTATCTAATTTTTGGAAAAATAAATACATATGTATATATTGATGTTTTGATCGATAGTTTATTTCTAAAAAAAAATAGGTAGCTCTGATTGTATAAATTAAAAGATAAAAGAAAAATTCTTTCAAATTCGATTCTGATGCATGATAATTGGTATCAGAGCAAAGTTATTTAAAGAATTGATTTTTTACTAGAGCTCTAAGAATTGATTGAGGGTTAGGTAGATTGGATAATGTAAGGTGCATTATTTTGCATCCATAATTGATTGTATAAATGAATAATATGATTACATAAATTGTATGAGTTATGATAATAATTGATTGTTTGAAAAGTTTTTATTCGTGATTTAATTTTCAATTTGGTTTATGTTTTGACCATACAACTTTATTTTATATTGATTCTTATGCTTGAATCTGGGAGATTGTAATAATTCAAATTTTTAAAAAATACATAAAAATGAAAAGAAAGGTTAAATTTCTACTTGAACTTGAGTGTTGCAGCATTAAGCCTTTAGCGCATAATTTTTTTTAATACTTGTAAACAAACACAATTATTTTTTTTCAATGAAGGAGGTGAGATAAAGGTAAATCAAGATTTTTAGTCATTGGATCACTTTGCCGCTTTTAATTTTTTTTTCAAATCGAAGTAGGTGATTCTAATTCTATCTATGTTTTCAAAGATTTTACTTTTGACTACTAACTTCTCCTCAAAACTAATTTTACTATTTTTTTAGCTTTATAAAAGTTTTACTACACAACATTTTATATGATATACTACTAATTATTCTAGATATTTTGACTATAATATTTATGAATTTTATAGGGTAAAATAGAAGTTATTGAATTTTGTATGATTTATATTGTATAGAAATTTTATATTTTTATTTAAGCATACTATTATTATAATCATTAAAATATAAATATATATTTGATAAGGTAATAGCTAGCCACCATTACTTTTATTATGATATGTGTAAAAGATAATAAATACTGATTGACCCGTCAGTTGAAGATTGATTAAATGGGCCGATGATTTTTTCTTTAAATATTGTGGTTATGTGTTATCCTATACTGATTCACGTGATATAATGATACAATAATTGAGAGTTATAAGGTGTTATTACTATGCCAATGGGTAAAGATTAATGACTCTATTTACTGAGTGAATAATTACTAATTATTGATTACTGACTACTAAACAACACCATAATAGCCAAGACTTCTTACTTGTTTAAGTGTGACCACCGAAATGCATTTTTATCGATTCATTTTAACTGTATGGCTTTACTGATACTATATTAATTTACTATCACTGTATATGTTTATTATTACTATATTACTTTACTATTACTGCCACTAGTTTTACTGACAATACTATATTGATACTATTACCAATATATATATCGATAATATTTGATACTACTACTGATTTACTATTACCATTACTATTATTGATTCATTATACTAAATCGAGCATGTGATATACTAAGTACATGATATATTGAGCATGTGATTAAGATACTGATTTGATACTAATATAGAATAACTGGATAGCATGTGTACATAATTATAGTATTTTACTACATTAGTATGATTTGATAGTCTTTACCGATGGATAATTTTTCCACTTTATATAATTTTTTTATTGATTGATAGCATTAATATGATCATTATTTTATCTATTTAACACTTATATTGGTTTACTTGTTTCCTCATCGCACTACGTTACTAGCTTTAGTACCGTATTATTTTACTATTTATAGATTTCACTACTATTGCATATGAGCTTTACTATTTCTACAAAGATTCATGACCACATAAATATTATTGTTATGATTTGGCTACTCACGTACATATTGCTTTTTTATCATGCTTTGAGTTCAATTGTAGGATTTGATTACTTGTTGGGCCATTGAGCTTATTATATATTGTTAAATGATTTTAGGTTAGGGCAAGGGAGCAAGAGTGTGAGATTGAGCTGGATCCTTCAGGTTAAGGTTCTTATTATTTTAGTCTTTTGTATTCAAGACATGATATATATTATAATTATATAGATCTTGAGTTGTATGCCTAATTTTCTAGAAAATGAATATAGATGTATATATTGATATTTTGATAGACAATTTTATTTCTACTGATATTTATATTGACAAAATAAATTAGGTAACTCTAATTGTATAAATTAAAAGATAAAAAAATAATTATTCCAAATTAGATTCTAGGGGTGACATAGTCATCCTAGGTAGCTCATTTTAAGAGATTAATCTATAGGGGTTAGGATTAGGCAAGGTATTAGGAATGAGGTTATCCATACTGCATTCATTTTTATGATTGAACCACTACTGTAGATCAAGCCTTAAGTAATGAATTTCAAATAGTGGCCATGCAAGAAGAGCTTAAACAGTTAATTAAAAATGAAGGATGGGTTAGAATAAGTTGGAACCATTGATCAGAGTTAGTTGGCATCAAATGGGTTTTTAAGAAAAAGTTGAACGACTCTGGGTTGGTAGTAAGAAATAAAACAAGGTTAGAAGCTAAAGGGTATAATCAAATAGAAGGTGTTAATTTTGAAGAGACATTTCTCCTGGTAGCTAGGTTAGAAGACTTAAGAGTTTTATAGTATTTGCATGTTTTACCATACATCGAGCTGAATAATTTCTTCAACTAGCTCTACAGGCGAATATGGCTCCACGGCCACCAAACCCTAGGTTTTTCTCTTCTTTATTTTCTCATGTCTAGCTTCTCTCCAGCCTTTATAGTGATTGGGATTGAAAATCATTTAAGTGGAAAATGCTTCTAGATATTGATATAAAAATCTCAAAGTAAGAAATGTTAAACCAACTGCCTACTTATAGAAAGAGTGATCAATATCATAACGTGTGCAATGTCGTAGCACTTTCTTAACTATTTCGCAATGCTGCCACTGCATCGCCATAGTGCTCCAAATGAGCTTTATACACATGATATTTCTTACTTTTTTAGCTCAACTATAGACTCTTTTGATCTTAAATAAACGTCAATTGACTTAAAAAGTTTCAAACACTTAGCGAACTCAATGACGAACATAAAATTCTTGCGAGGATTGGGTCGGGTGGACTTGTTTTGTAGCAACAGAAGTCACCAACTTGCTTGCTCAAGTTATTAACTTGTTGGATGAAATCATCAAATTGTATCACTCTGATGAGTTTAGTATGTATTTGATGAGTTTGCGATGTCTCTAACGAGTTCAGTTTGATTTCAATGAGATTCACTCCAACTCTGGCAAGTTCCTTATGAATATGACATGTTCAACATTATTCTAGCGAGTTCACTATAACTCTAATGAGTATAGTATGATTATGGCAAGTTCATGATGACTTTAATTTTCAGTCTCTAATGAGTTCAGTAGGATTCTAGCAATTTACTATACATATGATAAGTTCATAGTGAATCTAGAGAGTTTTATAATTTTATTATTCTTACTCGTTTAGGTTGCCTTCAACTTTTAAACATATTGACAAAAACATGATCAATGAAATATTTGAGTGAAAAAGTAGGGGGGTAAATGCGCCCAGCTTCAACGAGCTTTTTTGGCATTTGTTCTTGGCTCATCTAAATTTTGTTTATAGGAAATCGGCTAATAATTGAAATTGTTTGTGCATACCATGCTAATGTTCTACTTGTTCAAATTTTAATTGAACATCGAACGTTTTCAAATAAAAGAAACTAAATAATGAACCAAATAAGATAGAATTATTATATTCTGAAGATGTAATAAAACAAGCTTATGATGATTGTGCATTATCAGCTCTTTTTTTTTTTGAGACATTTAGATAAATTAAATCAAATTCAGACACTTAATATATAACTGCATCTTATTCTGAGGGGTTATTTGATTGCATGTATTTAGGAGGAAAAGTAATTCAAATGTTGGGGTTTTAGAAATTTTTGTGATTAATTTAATAATTTGAAGTAAAGTAAAATATAGAGTATAAAAGAAATGCATTCCAAATACCCTAGGTAGTGCATTTTGAGAACATTTGAAATTCCTATGATTTGGACCATTTACAAAGACAATGCAAACGTAATGTTGTTGCCATCAGTCACCGGCTGCCGCCCCCACCGGCAGCCACCGCCGCCGCCGACCGCCAACCACCCCAGTCCAAACCTTCTTATATTTTATATTGCATTCACTTTACTTCACAAAAAAAGTAAAATCATGTATTTATTTTACATTCATTCAAATAATTCTAAATTATCCTTTTTATAGCATATATATTGGGTGTCTTACTTGGCGAACAGGATTCTTGGTATTCCTATCTTGGCCATCTTTCAGACGCAAAGAAGCAACCTTATGTTCTTCAACCCGAAGCGTGGCCATCTTCCCTCGCGCTTCTCTTTCTCCCTTTATATATATCTCCCTCCCCGGCCCCTTTCTCGCTTTAGAGCCCTTGTGAGCTCATTCGTTCGCCAATACAAGGCTCTTCCGATGAGAAGTTTCTGATGGGAGCTCAGAAAAGCATCCATGCCGGAAAAGGTGCGAACTTCAAACTCTGAACCCCCCTGTCTTTCTATTTCTATCTTGCCCCCCTTGGATTATGTTATGATTTGTTCAACAGCGAAGATAGATTTCAATGTGGACCTAACACACAAGCTATGCGGAGCTCTCTTAGTTCCATCACTCGGGTACTTCTTCCATTCTCTGATATTCTTATATGCCTTTTCTGTTCGATCAAATTGATGGAACTGTTGTTGTCTTTGATCGGTGTTCAGGAATTCTAGCAGTCCTTTTTCACAGATTGTTGGCAGGTTGGATGCAGTTTTTGGCTTAGATTTGATTTTCCTTTTTCGCTTAGAAAGGTTTCTGGTTTTGTTTAATGAGCGTATGATATAAAATGGCAGGGTTAGCATTAAGCATCCCGACATTTTTGGAGGAAGTGAAAAGCTTGATTTGTTGTGGGATAAGGGTCTTCAGGACTCTAATGTAGTTGTTGCTATTAGACGGCCAAGGCCCGAGTGGCTGTCCCAGCAATCATTCATCATTCAGGTTATTGTAATTCTACAAAAGCTTTACTTCAGCATTTTACAGTGCGTGTGCTTTGAGATGTAATAAAAGTGAGGAAATAAACAGTCATGTTTGGAATGCAAATATATTTTACTTCATTATTTGATATTGGGTGTGCTTAGTTTCAGTGTAATTAATAGGTAATCGGAGTTAGGAAATGTGAGCAAATCTATAAAAATAAAAATAAAAAAATGTGAGCAAATCTATTTTTTTTATTCAAGTTAACTTTTCATTTCCTCCCCTTCAATCCCTTCAAACTAATTAGGGCCTAAGAGCTTAGTGAAATGAGTTCCACTTCAGCAAATGTATTTGTTTTATTGAAGTTTACTTTTGGGTTTTGTTGATTAATTCTTGGTAAGTTTTCACACAGTTCTTACTTCTCCTAACCCATGCAATGCTTTGTGCACAGCATTCAATCACTCCAGAGATTGCAGTACATGGGATGCCAGTCAATAGATTATCCCAAATGGGGAGTGGCGGAATCAATATTTCCCGTTTTTCGACTGGAGTTGATCTTACCGAGCCTCCTAGTACCAAGTGGAGTACAAAAACCAACATTAGGTTTGAGGTATGTGGATCTACTCTATGGAAATGATTGAACCATTTAATGCATTTTCCTGGAGAAATTGTTATGCTGAAAATCTGTTTTTATGAGAATAATATCAGCTTGAAGCTTTCTTCTTGATTCAGCATGTCAGTGTTATTAATGATGATGGCCGACCAATAAATCTAGATCATGACGGTTTTCCAATAACTTGCAGGTATACTGGTTTGTATAAGTTATGTTATTTGAAGTAGTATTAGGAGTATTTGCTGTTTGTTAACTTATTATTAATTCTTAACTCTCATTTGCAGTGGCACTTCCCATGATAACATGGTTGTATTAAAGCAGGAGTCACAATACGCAGTTGCTGATGATAATAAATTTTCTAGGGTAAGTGATATTCACATGTATTTTCCTGTTTTTAGAGGTTAATCTTTCTCTAACCCTTTTTCATCAGTTGAATTTTCAAATAGAACAAGGCTTGCCTCTTCTATCGAAGTGGCTAATTTTTAACAGATTTAAATTTGTTGCTTCAAAAGGAGTTAAAATAGGGCCTGCTTTACTTGTCACAAGGTAAGGGAGAGAATAATGCTTTAAATTTCAATTTCCATTTGCAGATTGTATCCAAAATTTCTAACTCTTCTGTTGGCAGCCTGACAGGCGCTTCTATTGTAGGGGATATGGCACCTCATCAAGCATTCTCCATTGGAGGATTCGGCAGTATTCGGGGATATGGAGAAGGTGCAGTTGGCTCTGGAAGGTCATGCCTGGTTATGAACACTGAATTTACAGTTCCTTTGGTATGCAAGTTTTCCCTTTTGTAGCATTTTTTTTCTTTAATTATTATTGCTATCTGAGTTTCAAAGTTATCTTGACAATTTATTCTTTGCTAGCCACATGTCATGCACGATTGTCCAAGTAATACGAATAGGAAGACCAATGGTCTTTTTAGACTGTCGAGCACTTTATGTTGACGTACTTTATGAGCACTCCTACTTTGTTTCAACATATAATGCTTTTTCACTCTTAGGAACGAAAGTTATTGGGTCTAAGCCACTTAGATTTCTATTCAGTTTTTTCTCAGAGCCTTCTTATATTTCCTCTCTTAGCACATGGCATAGAGTCTTCTTTGGTACCTATCAGCCAAGACCAAGTTTTCCTCGATATTATTTTTATTTCTTTTTTTTTTTTGCAGAAATGATATTTATTACTCTCCTTTTCTTAAGTATCGCCTTCACCTATGTGCATAACCCCAACTTCTTTTTCAACTTCTTTTTCATTTCTCCACATGGCGTCTTCACTTCAACACTTTGCCATCCCCTTTAATAGCTGGCACATATTTGTAGCAATCCTTTTGGAACTTTCACTCCTATATAATCCATCATGCAAACACTATGGGGATTTTTTTCTTTTTCCTCCAATCTACACAGGATTTAATCTCTTGGCCAACCCTACAAAGATGCATAGGGAGCCATGAGCCATAGTTTTCCTCCAACAATACTATTCTTTTTATTTATTTGAATGTATCATTACAACCAAATATAATTCTCATTGAATAGTCAATCATCTCCCTCTTGCCACAATGGATGCAAACCCAATTGCAAAACCACTATAAAATAATTGTTTCTATGTGATGCATTTTTTTTTCTCCATTATCAACACAATCATTGTTCATGATTTCTTTGGGAGTAGGTTGATTTTTAAGTGATTTCTTGATCTTTCCTTGAACCTGGTTAATTTTTATTCTTTACATGCATTTTTTTTATTTAATGAGGGTAAAAATATTTTTCACAACTTTAGCATTGTCTATGAGAAAATAAGCTCAGGATCCTCTGAAACATCATGGCCAATAATCATTATTCTCATTTGCTCACTCCGAAAATAAAAACTCAATTTATATTTCCCAACAGAAGGACGACAATGCATTATCATCTTGTAGTTATTCACCTAATTCTTACACCTAAATCATCTCGCGAGTGCTATGGGATCATTTTCTATATCTAGAGTTGTGTCAACTTTAGGTCAACTAGGATCAAGACTGGTGAACTTCATAGCAAATTGTGTATCAACTTCATGTCATCACCTTAATTATGATCATGATAAATCTAGTTGATAAGCAAAAACCAAGCACAGGCTAATCACTTATAATGGGTTTCTACGACTCTAATGATCTGAAAAGGTTCTTGGGTATCTCTAACTTACCTTTTGATTCTTTTGCAGGAGCAACCAATCATAAGTGTAATTTTCTTTAAATTTGAGCTCCTAATAAATATTGACTATCATGTGTCAAATATTAGTCCTTTCTAACTCTGCACTATGTGCCAAATGTAATATTGAGTTTATTCGTTATCAATTTTCCTCTTAGAAATCCTTTCAAATTCATTTTATGTTCTCTTCTTATCCTAAAAAATGTTTAGATTTGAATTCTAACGAACAATTGTGGCTTAATCCCCTTTCTCATATCCCAGTTGAAAACTAAGGTTTGGTTATCCCAGTGATCTTGGACCCCCCAATCAACTACCAAAGGCGTGGTCCTCCAGATGAACCACTTAGACTTCCCATTCAATACCGATGACTTTCATTCTCTCACAAAACTTCTCAACTAACAACCAAGGAGTCTTCCGGTAAGTCTCCTTAACATCCTATTGTCGAAAGCTTAAGTTCTAGCAAGATTATATGACTCATTTTTGGGACACCAAATGTCTATTGCAAAGTGATTCCTAGGCTATAGCAACAACTTAGGTAGAAACGATAGGAGGGCATTAAGTTCTATGGGAACGATTCATGTTGAGCCCTTTGTTCATATATTTGATTTTATATATTCCATTCAGATCGCATAGTCATCAGATGCACATTTAGGAGAAAAGAAGAAACACAATAACTTATTATATAATAAGAGCTGGAAAATGAAAGCAAAATTTATTACAATTTACATCTATGCTTTTTGTCTCATATATTATATTTATTTTTCTATACCAAATAATATTCAAAGGAATGCTTTTCAAGTAGTTACAAATTTGAACAAACAAATTTCTTTGTGTAATAACCTCCTTTAGTCAACTGTAAGTCATGATCATAATATCTCAGATTGCTTATTTTCTTTCTATCACCTCTTCCTCAGTATCGTTGCTATTGATTTAAGTACAAGTTTCTTCTTCATCTCAATAACTTTTAGTGGTGAGTGACTTGTTTTGCTATTTGTCAAAATAGATCCTTTTTGTTGTTCCTTTTATTGTTCGAAGCAGTTGATTATTTCACTTCGCTTTATTATTTAGGAAATCATTTTCATATATCGCTACTTGAAATACCCTTTTAATTTAAATCTAGGATTGATTTTTTGTAGTAACCCTCATCCTGCTCTTTCATTTTGTCAAACTACTTCTAATTGTGCTTTAGGTTCTTCTTTAAATCTTTTTTTGCATTGGTTATTTGAACATATATTTTCTCGAGATGCTTGACCATAACATCAAGCTTTGCTAGGGATTTATTCATCTTCATAGTCATATTTTGCACCACATTCTCGGGCCTTCTATACGTCCTCTTAGTATCATTTAATGGCACTTAATTTATTGGCTAGCATGCATTGTGTTGTGCTTAGAAATCTTGTCGATCAGCTGATCATTGGAAGTCTTCCAATTAGGTTGTGATTTGATCATAACTGCAACATTTAGTCCCAGTTGAATGAAGTTCAACTTCCCATGGGCACTCTATGTGTGGTCTTTATTATGCGGGATCTATCATCATCAACCTACCAAATTATTTCATTAAGACTTTAGATAAATTCTACTCATGAGCTTTTCACGCTTAGGCTGAGGGGGGAGTCCTACTGTTCCTCAAAATTTACTTCTTGGCCACAATTGCAATTAGCAATCTCCTCGGGCAAGCTCAGTGGTCCTGATGCAGAGTCCACTTCATCCTCAATATTGCTTCCTACGTCATATCAGTTCTATCCAAGTAGTTCTGAATGTATTTAGGTTTCGTTTGAGATGACTTTCTTACTGCTTCTTAAAGCAGCTTTCTAGTACAAAAATTTAATTTTTGTACTAGAAAGCTATTTTAAGGAGCAGTAAGAAAGCTGTCCCAAATGAAGCCTTAGTCTTAATCTCGTCCAATCTGTGTCACAAGATAAATTTCTTTTGTCACATCTTTCTTTCCTTCTTCTCGGGCACCCTCTTATTCTTCTTTGTTTCTCCAACTATCTCTAAGGAGATGTTTTCAGTGTTAGTTTCAATCTCCTACAGCTTAGTTTCAGCAGCATCAAACTTCCATGGTATAATTAGAAAAAAAATCATACTCTACTTTTGTTTTGCGACAGGTCTCTTTGTTGTTAACTTTTTGCCACTCTTTTTGTCACAACAATGATGCTCAAGTCTCACTCTCCTTTGATGGCTTGGCATCTGCGATGAACGTGAAAATAGGCTCAAGAATTCTTCAAAATCAACACCAATTTTATTCCCTTGCTCCAGGAGGATAAATATATGATTACCTCTACAATTTATAATTTCTCCATATACATCATATTTGTTGCATACTCTGATCCAATGCAAAATTTTCAATTTTCATTGTTGGGAACAAAGAAATATTTCTTTCTGTCCGTTAAGAGATGTTTATAATCCATTAGTTGCCAGTAACAAGAGGTGATGTGTGACAAACAATGCAAAGTCTTTTAATCCTTTTATCTGGAACAGAGAAATGAACTGAGGAACTGACCAGGCTATGCCACTCTAATCTAAAGTCATCTCCACTCTCTTGAGTTTGAGATCCATCTAGAGATGTTTTTCTTGAGCTATTGCAGCTCTTTCTCTTTCACCTCAACAACATCGTCTCCACCTCCCCATACACCTCTACGATTTGATGAATTCGTTACTCTGAGGCCAAGGTCTTGTGCTGAGACATCTCCTAGCAACTCTGATTCCTCCATTATCTTTGCTTTAATAGGAGGGTCACAATGATCAGCCATCTCAACATCATTTGCTTGATTAATGGCTTCATTGCCCTCTCTTCTTCCAGCTGTCCTTGGTAGAGCTGACAACAACTTGATTTAGACATTTCATCAAACACCTTTAGTGCATCTACTGTAAGGAAAAAGGAACGCAACAGAGGGGGAGGGGGTGTTAATTGGGTGTGCAATTGGGCACTTTGAACTTCTTTCAAAATTCACCAATTTAAATCCCTCAATGTTCACACAACGAAACATAAAATGTATTACTATAAGAAACATGTGAAAACTAATAAATGATGCATCCATCAAAACAATAATCAATCAAATAATCTAATTATATAACAAATGGTTGTGCAATTTTCGGGCCGCGGAGGGGGCGGGGAGGGTGATGGTGGTGTTGAAATGGGTGTGCTATTGAGCACTTTGAACTTCTTTCAAAATTCACCAATTTAAATCCCTCAAAGTTTACACAACAAAACACAAAATATATTACTATAAGAAACTATGTGAAAGCTAATTAAATGATGTATCCATCAAAATAATAATCAATCACATAATCTAATTATACAACTAATGTAGAAGTCAGGTTAAATGATTTACTTAATATGAACAAGCTAATGAAATAAACAGGTGTTTCAACCACTATTTTTATGATTCAATATTTAATTATATTAGATCACCCACAGTTAATAATCTTTAAATTAAATTTACGCAAACCACCACACAAGTATCTAGCGATATAAATTATGACATTATGCATGGTAATTTTACTTGTAAATACAATGGGTTTAATCTATTCAACTATACTTACTGTATAATTGATTCATTGTAACCACTAATTACATAACTATACAAATA